TGAAGGCACCTGACTGTTGGTGAACAATTTAGCAGTTTGCATCTATCATTGCAGTATACAAGCTAGATGGTAAAAAAAACTTTGAAAAACAGCATTTTGTCAGTTAGATTAATAACACAATTGATGGTTTTAATGTATTTATTTAAGTAGTTTGGGCAAACTGAAATACCATTACTTCCTTTTACTTTAACCTAATTTTGATCAACTGTTCGAGCGTAGAGCCACTAAATCAAGCCAGTACTATGGTATGCATTGCCAGCCATTCAGTCATTAACAAAAATCTAATGCATGGCATGTTAATGATGCCACTCGTGCCAGCTCACAGTTCATGAGCATTCTGATGTGTGTTTCTGCACCTGTTTTCATATACCTGAGAAACCAAGCATGTCTATTGAGAAAAGTTTCGATTTTTTTTGCTTTTAGAGATTTACCGAGCCCAGCATTCCTAATTATTGCCAAGGCGCATTTTCCACTCTGGTTTGCACAACAGTGTGTATACATCCATTTAAGAAATTTAAGTGGTGCATTTTGGGCAAAATCAAAGCATTTAAAATTGATTTGTTCCAAAACATTAATTAAGATCATGTCTGAACAACAGCAGTTGTTGCATACGAACATGCATAGAACATCTTCAGCCAAAGGAAAAGTGGTCAATCAAAGTTGAAGGTTCTACAAATGGTAACTTACTCATTAGATTAGTTTCATGACTGCCGTTGACTTTTCCGTCAGTATGAATCTGGAGGTGGAAGCCTATTCCAACCCTGCAATACAATCTTCCAGTCCTGCGTCCTGACTCGATGAGCTTCTGCTCCAGACGCGCTCGCTGAGAATCCACTTCAGAGAGTAGCAGAGCACAGCGAGGACACTGAACGAGCAGCAGGAGCAGGAGAGCAACGCTCATTCTTTCCTTACTGCTCTTACTCCCTCTCTCTCTCTGAGAGTGTGTGTGCATGTGCAAGGCCACCTTCAGCATTCAAACGCTCTGAGGGGACGCACTGCTGGGCATTACCAACGGCTGCTGGAGCATAGAGATATTTATATCACTAATGATCTCACTGCTTGATGCATGCTTCAGATGTGCAGGACGCTCGCTCTCATCCTCGATTTATATCGGACTAAATATTTAAACCTCCGGTGACTGCGCATCTCCAAACGTGCTTCATTGAGCAGCTTTGACCTTGGCTGGGAATGTCCTACCACACGCAATATTATATTTCATTTGTGCCAATGGCTGTAAATCTGTACGAGATTGAACACTCTGTCTGAACAACTTTCACTTGTTTTGGTGATACAGTAATCAGATTTTGCAATCACTTTGACATTGCGTTCCAGCACCAGGAAAGTTGTGTTTTGCTTTGGTTTTGTGCTTTGTCTTTCTTTGCTCTGCCTTGTATTTTCAACACATTCCAAAAAGTCCTGGTATTTTGCTATATTTTTCTCTAATTTGCTCATATTTGGTGAATAACACAATTTATAGGATTTAAATTATTTCTGGTAATGCACATACATACAGCGAATGAACATTATTAATGTTCTGGATGAAGTTAAAACATAAAATATATTTAAAGTCTTATTGTGTAACCAGGAGGTCAATGGTAAAACATCACACTTTAAAAATCACCTTTCTTGCTTTAAATATGCAAATAAGCATATATTCAAAGACGTGGGACATTTCTATAGTGAACACATCTTGGAAAGGACTTATATGAACTCTTGTTTTTCTGTGTTGTATGTTTTCCTGTAAATGTATCAGCAATATCCAGTTTCTTATCCAGTTTCTGCATTTTACACACAATAGAACGTTTATAGGTTTATAGGACCAAACTAATTTATGACAAGATGAGCTAATATTGTAAAAGCTACCTTTACAGAATGCTCAAAAGTCTTCAGGTCCCTTACCTTGTGCTTGAGCATAAAACCATCTTAAATGCATAACTTTTGAGTCTTTACTAGGAGTGGTTGCTATTTAATTTAAGCTGAATATTGGTAATGCTGGGACAGAATATCTGGCCCAAATTTAGCTGGACAGGTACATTTTGATAAGGAGTTACACTTCATGACTGGAGCAAGTCACAGATAAGTTAATAACCAAGAAAGTTGCAAACATGTTTCGCCCATGTTTTATGTGTTTCATTAGCAATGATACAACCATGTTTGGCCCATATACTGTAAACTAGTGTCAGATGAATGGCGGTTCTGCCAGACCAATGCTAAACCTGCTTCACATTTTTACGACTGGGGCCTGATCAAACTGATTTCAAATTGTTCTGTTAGATTCAGCGTATACTTAAACCTGCTATTTGAATTTTGGCCTTGTGACCCATGAATGAATTGAATGTAGCATACGATCATGACAGAATGAATGGAAATGTATTACATAAATAAACAAGATGGGATTTTATGTGGGCTTTGGAAGCATAGAATTTATTTTGATTGGTCCACTGATGTCAGCACCACTTGTTTCAGTACAGCTACATGCTGAGAGAAAACAGCACTCCATCTCTGCTGCTTAAAGGATTGCACAGTGGGAACGACACTGTTCCTTTAAAAGTGTCTGAAACATTCATGCATCTGCTTTTGGTCAGGTTGCTGTAAAAGGAGCATTCTCTGATCTCGCACCCACCTCTGTGGGCAACTTGTATTTTCAAAATGATGCAAATTCCAAGGAGAAAGGTCCTTAACCTGTATGCAGCAGTGCTACTCGCTGCACCATTAACTGCAATGTTTTAAAGTTCACTGTTAAACCTAGAAAAGATTGGTTGCAAACATGGAAGTGAAGAAAAAGTGATATATTGTTAAAATCAGGGGCCTTCGAACAAGACAAACTCTTTGTCTGGTATTAAAAAAATACCGTAGATATATTTATGATACTGTCCATTCTGGAATTTTATACCTTGTCCTTGAGAATGTACATCAAAGTGAACCGTAACATGACATAACAGTTCTTGCGGGTGGCATGGCACACTATTACTTACAGATTATTTGTGTAAAACGTCTGTTTCTCAAGAGGTCAGTTAATTGTATATTTTTCTTAGAACTACAATAGAATATTCAAATAGGGGTCAAAAAGATTTGCACCAAAGCTTTAAGGTCTGATTACAACTCAACTCCAATCATTTCATTAAAAACCTATAGATGTGGATTGAAAATACTTAAGACTGACACTCAAATTGCCACCTTCAAGATATATGTGTCAGGGCGGCATGATGGCTCAGTGGTCTTCCAGTTAGAAGGTTGCTGGTTCAAGGCTCGCTGGTGACCTTCCTAGAAGGAGTTTGCATGTTCTCCTCGCGCTTGCGTGGGTTTCCTCCGGGTACTCCAATTTCCCCCACAATCCCAAAAACATGCGGTTAGGTTAATTGAATAATCTAAATTCCCCTTAGGTGTGACTGTGTGTTGCCCTGCGGTGGACTGGTGACCTGTCCAGTGTAGACCCCTGCCTCTTGACCAATGTGCGTTGAAATTTATTTAAGAGGGTTGGAAAATGAATGAATGAAAGATATTTGTCATTAATTTTAAATTTTACTCATTAAGCATAGTGTTTCAGAGAATTTAAAAGATCATGTCTAAAAACGGATTTTAAACTGCTGTTTATTCTAGTGTACTTTAAAGAAATGCGATCTCAAACTTGGATTCCTTAGTAGTATAAGCACTAGCCTCTATAAAACCAGCTCACAGCATCTTATGTTACCTTTGAAAAGTAATGGCAGCCTCCAGTGATTTGAAAGGAATGTGTTGGGAAAACATGATCTTAATCATGAGATAAATGACTGAGGTGTGGATGTTTGTGATGGATTCTTCCTTTTGTTTCACTCGCTGCACAACATGGACTGATCACTTGAATGTAAACAGTGCATAAGTGTGTACCTCCCAGATAGTCAAGGCCATTTGTTTGTGTTGGACTCTCCAGCATAACTGCAGTGAGGTAATCACCATGTGAGTATAAACACTGAAGATGCTGATTGATTCTAGTGATCATGACTTTTGTACAACAGTGTAGGTTTTCCGTGTTCTGGTGACAAGCCATTTGTTCTTGTTTTGGCATAAGTAATCATTATCTTTGAAGCTTTCGGGTTAAAAGCAAGGAGGAGATGCATTTCCAGGCACTCCCTTGAGAGACGGTATATCTGGATAGCGTTAACACTCTCTGGCCTTTTGAAATAAGCCCACTCAATAATTTAGTCCATGCTGACGTGGGTTTTTTAATTGAACGCTTTGTAGGGTAGATTATGTCTTTGGATGTTTTGGATTTACAGAGATTCATTTATAAGGCAGATGTTAATCCCAGTCATCGGAAAGGAATATCAAGGCTGTTCCTTAAAAACATATGCCTGGTTTGCAGAACTGTACTGGTCCGTGTACCAATGAACTGCACATGAAGTTAAGTCTGTTTCATTTGAAAGACCATATTCTCACAGTTATATCTCCAAAATGTAACCAAGCAAACACAATGAGTAGAAACTAGATGTTTTTAAAGTTTAAGAAAGAAAAAGAAAGCTTTTAACTGACAACACCAGGAGCCGTGCTTGAAATGTGTATTTATTGAGAAACAAATGTATTTACTTATTCCCACACACCACGTCAGCGCTGTATAATAGGCAGTAGATGTCACGGAAACTAATTGTGATGTTTGCTGCAATCATTGGATTTCTTATTTGTGCCCTAAGCTGAAATGTACTACGGTGCCCCCCAAGATGTGCCCAACACAATTTCACTGTGTATTTTTTTTTTCTACAAAAAAGCCATGTTTAGCATGGAAAAAATACTACAGTAAAATATTACTATTATTTTGATACTGACAGTTAATAATACCTACTGTAATGATGTAAATAGTTTTTTTATCCATCCATGAGAGAAGATGAGAAATGTAACCTCAAAATGTACCCAAGACACACTCCATTTAAGTATGTGTGGGTCCTTCAGGCTTCCGTCTCTCTCAGGACTCGAAGCCCTCTTTTAGACAGTTTAACAAGGTATTTCTATTTGCTTGAGTTGAATACACCTGGCTGGTAAAGTGGTCAGTATTGCTGCCTTCCAAGCAGTTGACCTAGGTTTGATTCCCAGCCAACGCATTGAACATGCTCCTTTCTGCAATGGACTGGTGACCTGTCCAGGGTGTTCTCTTGCCAAAGTGAACCCCGAAAGGGAACAAGCGGGTTAGTAGATGAATGAATGAATGAATCAAACTTGAACAGAATTCACCTGATTCACAAAAGCTCCTGATCCCTGACACAATATTCACCAACGCAACTGGACCACTAGAACCTACCTCATTTTTACCTCAACCCTTTACAGCACTCCAGATTCTGGTTCAACAGATTACTGTTAACCACAATTCCAGATTCCTCTTCATACCCTGTTTTAATAACTACTACACCCTTTGTTGACGTTTCATGGAAAACTTCCTGGTTCAGCCAAGGTCCTCTCCACTCACCTGGATTACACGTGGAACTTTGGATTCTCCATCGATATTGTAGCTCCAATTGCTTCTCCTGAAAAGACTTTATTTATGAGTAATTAGCTTTATTAAAAAAAAAAACATCTTTGTTTTCTACTTGTGAGCCAGTCAACCTTTGAACTCAAACACTGCATGCTGTCATGACTACAGAGCCACTTTCTTGACCTCAGTCTTTTGCGAATGGGCACACAGTCATTCAGCCTCAACAAGGCGGAACAAGAGCCGAGGGGTTTATATTCTCAATCTGGTGCATTCCTGATATTCTTTCCCCGTTCCCTCCTCCCATCTCTGAGAGTTGAAGCGTGAGGCGATGTGAAAGTAGCCTTCCATTTCAAACACGTCCTTTCAAAACAGCCTGTGGGTAAGAGTCTATTTGGTAATGAATCTTAACATTTACTTTGGACTAAGTCGTGGCTCCTTCAGTGCTGTGTCCTCAGACATGGCTGTCTAATGATTTGGTTGTAGGTTTTAGAATTCAGATTGTGAAAGTTGTTTATCTTAGGTCTTTTATTTTCTAGAAATTTTATTTTGAGACAATTTCATCTGTATTGTTCGTAGGTTATTTCCATTGAATGCTATATATATAAAATCGATTTTGAAATTCTTTACATCATTACAGTAAGTAATGTTGACTGCCATAATCCAAATAATATGGATATTTTACTGCTGTATTTTTTTAAGCTTTTCCATCCTAAACTTGGCTTTTTGGAGGGAAAAAAAGTATGTCTTTGGTACATTTTAGGTAGCTTTTCTCATTTTCTCATATTATTGATGGTCAGCATCCAAATAATAGGAATATTATACTGTAGCATTTTCCATCCAGAGCTTGGCTTTTAAAAAAAAAAAGTTAAAATAAGTGAAATGCATTTAGTTAAATTGTGTTGGGCACATTTTAGAAGGCATCATTGTGCAATTCTGCTTACTGCAGCCATTTGGTCAGCATTTTCACTTGAAATGCTTCTGTTCCAATCAGACTCAATGATATATTCAAAGCTTCGGTAAAAGTATATGTCAACTTTTTTATTCTAGGTGAGTTTTAAAATGAGAATTAAAATATTTTTAAAATCTGAAATGTACCATTAATGACAATTTGATCATTCATTATTCTGTTTTATTTCACAACAGAAACACGCCATTTTATGGCCATAGCTTTGCAATACAGATTTAGAATTCCGGTTTGCAAGTATAATGCTTTAAAGTTTATGCAAGTGAATTTTTATTTGATTTTACAACTACACAGTTTCATTTACACAAATCAACACTTCTCAGATTAGTTACCTACATGTTTCCTTAAGTCCTTGTTTTCAGCTTCTGGTCATGCACAGAAAATGTCTGGTCTTTATAGAAATCTACTAGGGTCTAACAAGGAATCAGAGCAATGTGTCTTTCATGTCCTTCCATCCCCTCTTTCTTTTGAACTTCCTTATTTATCTCCAGTAAAAGCAACAAACAGTCCCGACAGTTTCCTAACTCTCACTAATCAACATTGAGTTTCCTGTGCACTTCCTGTGACATTAATTTCCCTTCAGGCCTACCTGAATGCTCTGTCCCAGGCAGCAGTAATCAGAGCCAGACTCCACTGCTTGAGCAACGCTGAAAGATCAGTTCAGTGTCGTTTTACAGTGGATTAGAGAAGGCCTATATTTTATCCCTGTGTTTAAAGTGACCTCTGCGACAAATTCTCTTCACAACATTCAGGGAATGAATTCATTGTGCTTCCACTGGTTAAAAAAGTAAAGTTTATTGTTCATTTTGTATTGAAAGAATAATTAGTATGGGGGCAAAATGTGAACTTCTGTGAACCTATATTTAAAAAGATTTACAATTTTACTATTTTTTACATTTATGTTCATCCTCTCAACACAACAGAAGTGTAATCTAGTTCAGTATGCTCTCATGAGTTAAAAGTTTATTTATTTATTTATTTTTTAATATTGAATATTTTTTGAATATACAGTGTGTACTATCATCCACTTTATCTGCTAAAAATGGATTTGATTTTAAAACGATTTAATTATAAATGTGAACTTTTCAAAGTATAGATTTCATTACAAGTTGCTTATCTGGATTTTAGTATTGAGAGCGTGAGCATGATTGATGATGCTGGCGGTGAATTCTGATAACTCCTCATGAAATTAATTACACAAATATCACTTGTGTATCTCTCTTGCCACAAGATGTATATTCTCTCCAGTTGAACTTCTGTCAGAGTAAGATGTGAAAGATGAATTACCGGTAATATAGACTTGTACTTTCAGTCCAGTGATATTTTTTTTATGTGTTTAAAGGTTTGATCCGCATGAATCTTCAGATAACTTCTAGCAGGGTGCTCTTTCTAACTCTTTGCCTAAAGATGGCGTTTACAGTAAAACAGATGCACTCCTCAAACAGCTCCATGTGATCAGCCACCAACAATATAATCTGCTCGACATTCTTATAATAATGTCTTCTTCTTCTTTCCTGTTTCCTGTGTAAAGTCATGATGAAAATGTGGGATGAGCGCCACTGAGCGTCTGTTGTAGAAAATCACTCTTGCTTTTATAACGAGAGAGAGAGAGAGAGAGAGAGAGAGAGAGAATCAGTATTACATAAAAAATTCTTTAAAGTTAAAGTTTTAAATCAAGCAATCATACAAGTTTTGCATGGTGTTAACTTAAAGTTTGTGAAAGAGATAAATCAAAAGCAAATTAATATCATAAGTTGACTTAAGGTGTAGTAATGTTGGTTGGCTGATTTTGAAAACCCAATCTGGGTGGTATAGTCACTGGGTAAAGCACACAGCTTTTGTTTATGTAGATGTCATCTAAGTCTTGGCCTGGAATGACCTTACACCGACAACGTGATGGTGTTGTCTGTATTAACAGGACATGAATGACTAATGCATCTTTAGTGTGCTTGCATAATTTATGTTTGACTGCAGTTTGCACCGTAGCATTAGCGGGGTGAACAACAGCTGTGTCTGACATTGTTAGTGGCTGAGCTACTGACACCTACATGTGCGCGCTGTAGAACTGCAATGCCGGAATGTGAACATGAGAAGCGTGCTTTGATTTCAAATGCATGCAATAGATAAATCTATTCCTAAAAGAGTCTTGATCCATTCAAGCGATTGGTCTAACATTAGGGAATTCATTCATTCTCTGATCATTTAATACATGTGCATCTTTTCATTTTTGTGCAGCTACCAAGCAAAAAAAAAAAATTACAATATAGAATTTTTAAAGGACTACTTTGTTTAACATCCAAATGAATAATTGTCTAATGGGACCTGGATGTCTCTGGGAAATAAGTTTAGACTTCAATCATTTATCTTTTTTCCCAAATGAGAGCACATTTATTTCTGTAGACCTGACTAAGACCAGTTCAAATGATTCTACACACTTGAGGATAAAAAGCAAGCCAATAAATACATAGACATCAGCTGATGAAATAAACACAAAGCGCAATTAGATATTGAAACTAATTCGATAACAAACTGTTGATGTATGACATGGAACATGGAACAATAAGACGTTTAACAGTTTACAGTTCACTTCTCTCACAGATCTTGCAATACTTTCCAAATATTGGGCTATTTAAGTACATTTTGTCATACTCTTCTGATGTCTAAGAAGATGCAAACAAACTTAAAAGCTACTTTTAAAATATATATTTTTGTGCTTTTAGAACACTTTAAATTGCTCATCGGGCGGCATGGTGGTACAGAGGTAACTGTTTGTAGCCTTCCTGAGAGGAGCTTGCATGTTCTCATTGTGTTTGTGCAGGTTTTCTCCAGGGAACTGTTTTCCCCCACATGACAAAAAAGTGTGCATCAGGTTAATTCTCTAAATTCCCCTTAGGAGTGAACGTGTTGCCCTTTCCTTTTGCCCCCAGTGTGTTGGATAGGAAGAAGCGGATAAAGAAAAAGAATGAATGAATGCTCAATAACCATATATGTGTACTGTCTGCAGGTTTCAAATAAAAGTGAAAAAAGAGACATACGGAAGTGACTACATTCAGCTGATGTCATAGCTGCTAATTATTCAGTTCGCCAATCTTCCCAAAGGCATGTGCTGCAAAATTGGTGAGGGGGGGGGGGGGGGCTTTGCATGAAGGCTGGACTATTGATTGAAACATCTTAAATAAGGGATCAAATACTTTGACATTCTAAAATTCCTAATAAATATATCCAAATTTACTGTATTTTACCATTAAAATACATCTGCCACATTTCACCACTCTCCTAAGTGCTATCCCTGCAGAATGCCTGATTAGTTCCCCAAAACAATTAGACACTATTTATTTCACTGTAATATTCATATGGACATAAAAGTATAATATTTCTTCAGACATAATCTGTCAATAATCCCAGTACGTGTGTAATTGCTTTAGAATTTGCCATTTCGGAAAGTTCATAGGCAAGCGCATAACTTGAGAGGTCCCCTGAGAATCTGTCTTTTAGTGACGATTAGTTTTCATGTGTGTCACGATACAGACGTGAAGAGGAAAGACAGGTGGCTGCTCTCTGATCTGTATATTGCTCTCTGCAATGCTTCAATGTGCTCAGCAGACCCACAGAGTGCAGGTAACAAAAATGTTGTGGAGGACAGGAAGAGCACAAGCATATCTATAAAG